ATTCCTGATCCTGGGATAGGCCATCAACAAATGAAAAGTTGCATAACACCACCAGGTATTACAATTCTGAACACTGGGGATACAGTTTAACAGAACGAGTAATAAATTGCTTCTAAGTCAAAATTTTAAATGCTCCAGGAGGTTGCAAAATTCCATTTTAAAGGGAAACTGAGTCCAACAAAGCTATTTTTCATATTCTGTTGTGTTGCAAACAAAGTAGCATGTGTCGATGTAGCATTTCGTCTTTGATTCCACTCCCCAAAACACATCAAACATCCACCCACTACTCGCGCGAAGGACCCCGGGCCAAGGTGAAGGCTGGGGTTCGTGGAGCTGGAAGTGGCATAACTTGGGCATGATAGTGCCCCCTAGAGCCCTTTACAGTGAAAGCTTGCTTGGCCCTCTTCAGAGAGTTGGGGTATCAACTAATTAATTTCTGTAGCCTTGGAAAAATTCATTTTAGAAAAATTCAAGTCTAAGAGAATGATTAGAGGTCCCTATAGAGTTCTTTTTAATGAACTTTGACCCCAAGGGTGCTGCAGAATTATTTGAAGCTCTATGATCTGATATATGAAGGGCTGAACTGTAACTCTAACCAAGGGCAGTGGGTGTGATTGAACTCCCTGAGGTGATGGTGAGTTCGTGCAGCCAGAGGTCCATCTGCACCCAGGTGGCCGCCTCCTACTTAGGAGGAGCTTTGTTGCTTGGTGTCCAGCCTTGGAGAAGCAGATCGTACTTTGGTCAGGAGGACTTACTTACAAAAGGAGCGGTTCTCCTTCTGCACGCCCAGAAGATGCATCACATATACTGGGGGGAAAAGCAGAGAAGCATCGGAGTCAGAAACGTTTCCCCTCACAAAGAGAGCTAGGGATCAGTCACAGCATCAGTCTGGTTTGCAGGGGTGGAAAAATGTTTACAAATCAGTTCTGTTCCCAGCACAGGCTTGGAGTCAACTAGACTTGGGAGCAAATCCTGCTCTAATACTTGCTTGTTATATGATTTGGGGCAGGCCTTCAAACTCTCTCAGCCTCAGTCTCCCTACCTGGAAAATGGGGACAATAATAATCCTCTTGGGGTTATGGTGAGGCTTGCGCGTGGTAATTCGAGTGTGTCAAGTGCTCCGAACTCTGCCTGTTATTCAGTAATGTTTTGAGGGGGGCGGAGGAAGGGAGCAGAAGGAGAGGAGAGGCCGTGATGATGGAGGGGCCATGTGTAGGGTTTGCATCCTCACCTTTTTCTTCCCCAGTGTTCACCTTGAAGCTTCCGGGCCTCTCCTGCCTGCCAGCACCTGGGAGGCCCCACCCCTGGCTGCAGACTGCAAACCTGGGGCACTGAGATCGGCAGCAGTGTCCTCTGCCCAGGAACCTTCTCTTTCTTTTCTTTTTTTTTTTCCAATTGAGTTATAACTGACATATAACATTGTGTTAGTTTCAGGTGTCCAACGTAATGATTTGATATGTTGTGAAATGACCGCCACAACATCCACTATGTCACATAGTTACAGTTTTTTTTCTTGTGACAAGAACTTTTAAGATCTACTCTCTTAGCAACTTTCAAAAATATAATACAGTATTGTTAACTATAGTCACCATGCTGTACATTACATCCCCAGGACTTTTTATCTTAAAACTGGCAGTTTGTACCTTTTGATGCCCTTCACCCATTTTGCCCAGCCAGCCGTCACCCCCCAACCCCTGCCTCTGACAGCCACTAATCTGTTCTCTGTATCTATGAGTTCTCTTTTGTTTAATAAAGATTTCACATACAGTGTTTGTCTTTGACTTATTGCACTTAGCATAATGCCCTTAGAGTCCGTGCGTGTTATCACAAATGGCAAGATTTCCTTCTTTTTTATGACTGAGTAATATTCCATTATGTATATATACTATGCACCACATCTTCTTTATCCGTTCTTCCGTCAATGGACACTTAGGTTGTTTCAGAACCTCCTCTTTCTAACAAGGGCGACCCTCCCTCACCCCCGATTAGAAGCTTCCACGCCTCTCCGCTGTCGGCCTCCTTCGTGGCTGCTTTTAGCCTCCAGGACCATCCACGTTCACCCTCCTCCTCCCTAACTTCTTCTCTGCTCCAGCTCCAAACTCAAGTACTTGTTGCCACAAAGGTAAGTGAGGTATTTAGCGTCTGTGATCTTTCTGCAAGGAGTGTCTCTGCCTATAGAAACCCTGCCTGCCCTTCCAGGCTCTGCCACTCCTGCATAGGCAAAGGCCGCTGCATGGAACGTGGTTATGGGGGAACCGAGACAGGAGCAGGGTGCTAGCTTTGGAGGCAGTAGCAACACTCCCAGAAAGAAGGTACACCAAACTTTCTGTCGGGCAGACTTCAGACTTCCTCTTATTTGGCAGGCCTGATAGTTCCCAGGCCTCTTCCCCAGTTTGCTTGTTTGTTCCCCATTTTCCATCCCAGGTTGCTGGGGGCCACCCCTTGTCCTTCTCTCACTCCCACGTCCTCCCAACCTTTCCCTCATCCCTGGTACGCTTCTCTGATCTGGAGTGCGTGGTCGAGCACATTGGAATTCCTAAGACAACTCCGCTTCCACTGCTGAGGTGTCACAGATGATTTATTATTCTGATGTGTGTGGAGTTAAATCATAAAAACCAATTTCCTGGGTGATTTACTGTACTGGGGGCAGGATCCAGGTTGTTTACCATTTGAAGAAGTAGTTCTGGGAAAGGACTGAAACTTTGGGGAGAATTTATGATCAAACCTCAAGGTACCCTAATTCAGAGTCAGGAGAGTACGCTGCTTGCATAGTTACTGATGTCTTCTGGCTACCAGGCTTGAACTCCCCCTTGTTCTGCCCCTGGTTAGAAATCACCCCAAACTATTAGCTCCTAGTCAGTCCTTCCAATTAGCTCATCTTTTTCTTGAATCTGATTGGAATGTCACAGATCACTTATAGGTACTCTGATTCCAGCTTTTCCAAAAAAATGGATTATAGTTCTTTTACCGTGACGGGAAGTGAGTAGATTTCAGCTCTTGATGTTTTGGAAAGAGCACCATGCTGCTTGTCGGAGCCCTGGGTCCAGTTCCTTCACGAATGTGCTGAGAGGCCTTGCACAGAACAATTAACTTCTAAGCCTTAGTTTTCTCATCTGTCTAGTTGGACCAGAGGCTTCCTTTGGCGTCAACCACTGCTAACATTCCATGAAGACACACCCAAGACTATACTCTAGGAGTGTGTATAGGCTTTTAATTTCCCTCCTTGGAGAGCTACGAGCACATGGGCACCCTGGGAGAAAGGCAAGGAGGGGTGTTACTTTTTTTTTTTTCTTGGTGTTGTGTTCCCTCCATACTTATTCTAATTGTAATGAGACTCTCCACTTTTCCATCCTCTTTCTTTCAGAACACTCCAACAGATTTTACAGGCTTATCGGAAGAAGAGTGCCCAAGAGACTGGCGGTCAGCATTCTCTAAGATGGAGAAGACAGACGGTAGGCAGGATCCCTTGTGTCCCCTGCTCTGCAGTGAGCACTTGGGTTGGAAAGCGATTATTACCATAAATCCTGGAAATAGCTCAGGGGAGGCCTACGGGAGACCATTCCCAAACAGGTGGTGCTGGGAAACCCAAACTGTGTGTTTCAGACATGAACAAGAGAAGGTAGTAGGGAATGAAAATGAAGGCTTATGTTTATATTGGAGTTGTGTAATTTTTGTAGTGTTTCTCATCCCTTCCAAGCACCAAGAAGGGAGCAGGATGATCTCACTCATTAACCTCTTTTTAGAGATGAGGAGCTTGAGGTCTAAAAAAGAGGCACATGGGTCTTCCCTGGTGGCGCAGTGGTTGAGAGTCCTCCTGCCGATGCAGGGGACGCGGGTTCGTGCCCTGGTCTGGGAAGATCCCACATGCCGCGGAGCGGCTGGGCCCGTGAGCCATGGCCGCTGAGCCTGCGCGTCCGGAGCCTGTGCTCCGCAACAGGAGAGGCCACAACAGTGAGAGGCCCGCGTACCGCAAAAAGAAAAAAGAAAGAGGCACAATTTGGTAAAAGAGCCTACATTCATACCTGTGTGATTTTCCAAGGCATTTCACTTCTTTGAGCTTCACTTCCCTCCTATGTCAGTTAGCTTTGCTGTGTAACAAACCACTCAAAAATGTATTGACCTAAAGATATTTGTTATTTCTTAAAAGATTCTGTGGGTTGGCTAAGCCATTATTCTGGGCTGGGCCAGCCTGACTGATCTCTGCTGGACTTGTTCACATGTCTGTGGTCTTCTGGGTGACTTGCCCTGATGGTTTAGAATGGTTACACTCACATGTCTGGTGGTTGACTCCATGTCACCTAGGGCATTGGTGATAATTTGCCCATGCGTCTTTTGTTGCCCAGCAGGCTAGTTGGGGTCTGTTCACATGATGACAGAAGGGTTCCAAGCACAGCAAGGACAGACAAACTCCAATGTGCAAGCAACTTTCAAATCTCTGCATATGTCACATTTGCTGTTGACCAAGTCACAAGGCCAAGCCTAGGGTCAGCGTGGGAGGGAAGTACATAAGGGTGGGTTATAATTGTGGCTATTTTTGCAAACAGTCTGCCACACCTCATCTATAAGCAGGTGTTAATACCTACGTCCCAGGGTTGGTAAAGGATTAAATGAGATAATGCATGTAAGGTTGTTGAGTAATAACTATCTAGCCCAACAAATGTCTCGATGAATGTTCCCCTTTCCCTCCCCAGGAAACTTGCCAAACATCATAGACTAGACCCCGGTCCCCTGACTTCTAATGAAATGCTTTTTCCAGATTACCAAATGTCAGGAAACAGGAGAGTCTATATGGCCCTTCACTGGTATAGGACTCAAGGACTGGACAGCAGCTCCAGTCCTGCCTTATCCTTCTTTCCAAATGCAGTTACCATATATTTCAAAAGTCTGCCTTTCTCCCCAGGGAGCTGCCTTTTCAGCGCTTCCCTGAAAGTGGTCCCACAGAACACCAGCTAATTCCCTTAATGCCCCCGGGGCCTGTC